TGTATGTATGTATGTATGTATGTATGTATGTATGTATGTATGTATGTATGTATGTATGTATATATATAGTATATTATATACATATGTGTATATATATATATATATATATATATATATAATGTCGGAGTGTTGGGCCCCCCGGCCCCCCCGGGACAGAATGACAAATGGGGCCACCCCCTGGGTAACCCCATTTAGCCCCCGGAGCCGGGGACCTGTTTTGTGCCTGTTACGGGCTGGTCTCACCCCCTGGAACGCTCCATGGACGGGCCAATATGCCTTCCGGACGGCCCAAGATGGCTTCAAGACGGCCCAAAAGGCACCCAAGACGCCCCAAGAGGCCCCCAAGAGGCCCCCCAAGAGTGCCCCAAGAAGCAAAAATCGTCCCATTCCCTTCGGACAACGTAGATTTTTAGCACATTCGCCTCTTGGGTTTTCACAGCGTCCACGATGGCCCAAGAGGCTCACAAAACGGCCCAGGAGACACCCAAGAGGGCTCCAAGACAGCCCAAGAAGGGCCCAAGACGGCCGAAGAGGCCTCCAGGACGGCCCCAGAGAGCCCCAGAACGAGCCCAAGATGGGTCCCAGAGCAGGAAAATCAAGTTCAAATTTCGAGCCTTCGGCCCCAGGAGGCAACCAAAGGCCCCAAGACGTCCCAAGAGGCCCCCAAGAGGCCCCCAAGACATCCCTAAGAGGTTCCCAGGAGGCCCCAAAGAGGCTCAAAAACTGCCTGCAATACACTTCCGAGAGGCTTCGAAGATGCATCCAAGACGCTCACCAAGAGGCACTCACAATTGGCTCCAAGATGCTCCCAAAACGTATACGTTTTATACAAAAGTGCTGCAAAGCATATGTTCTTTCATGGATTTCACGCTCCCTGATGGCGCCCCAGAGGGCCACGCGGGGCCAACTTCTTTGATTTTTGCTCGGTTGCTGAAGGGTTTCCATGCTGCCCCCTTCTAGAACTTCCTGCGATCCAACACAGCCCAGGCGGCTCCGACGACCGCCCCGAGGCACCTTCTGCATCTCTCCCTCACGCCCAAGCCCGCCCAAGAGCGCTCCGACAGCGCTACACAAAACGGCCAGGAGGCATCCAAGAGAGGTTCATAACGTACCCAGCACGAGGAAACCAGGTCGCCACGACCCCGAACCTGCCTCCCCAAGAGCTTCTGGAGGAGCCCAAGACGGCCCAAGAGGGCCCCAAGAGAGCGCAAGATGGCCCGCGCGCGCCCGAGATGGCCCAAGAAGGCTCTTAGGTGACCTTAGGAGCCCAGGAGGTCCCGAGATGGATCCAAGATGGCCCCAACAGGTCACACCAGGGGCCCAAGAGGACACCAACAACACCCAGAAGAGGCCCCCAAGCGGCCCCCTGGAAACCCCAAGAGGCTTGAAAACCCCGCTCAACCAAGAGGCACCCGAGCAGCACGCCCAGATACCCAAACAGGTGTGACACGCCTCTGGCCACAATCCCAGCACAGTGGCAGTACGAGCCGAAGGCTCCTGAGGCTTCCAAGAGGCCCAGGGAACTCTCTTAGAGGTCACGCGTCTACACTCTAGACGATGTTTTCACAGCGGGAACATCGATGCGGACACCAAAACCGTCCCTGGGATGCGATACCGGGCGTCGGACGCCTTTTCCGCAGTCGGCACTCCCAAGTCCCACGTGCTCTGCTTGCTGCGATTCGCCGTCGCTGGCAGTTGGTGCCTTCGAGTTAGTGCCCAAGGAAGGGGGAAGAGGAACGGGAGACGAGGACCAGGAGGACGAGAAACAGTAGGAGGAAGAGGAGGAAGAGGAGGAGGAGGAGGAGGAGGAGGAGAAGGAGGAGGAGGAGGAGGAGGAGGAGGAGGAGCGTTCGCATTCGTAAGGGGAAGGGCCGTGCCGACAGCCGTGCCGTGTGTCGCGGGCGTCAGAGTTTGAACCCTCCAATCCCTCCTCCTTCCTCATCGTCTCCAAGGTGACCCGAGTCGTTCCCCCAGCCGCGAAAAACGGTCAAGGGGAAGTGACCGGGGCGGGCGTCGGAGGTTGAACCTTCCAATCCCTCCTCCTTCCTCATCTTCTCCAAGGTGACCCGAGTGGCTCCCCTGGCCGCGAAGAGTGGTCAACGGGGAGTGACCGGGGCGGGCGTCAGAGGTTGAACCTTCCAATCCCTCCTCCTTCCTCATGCTCTCCAGGGTGACCCGAGTCGTTCCCCTGGCCGCGAGGAGTGGCAAGGGGGAATGACAGGGGCGGGCGTCAGAGGTTGAACCTTCCAATCCCCCTTCCTTCCGCGTGCTCTCCAGGGCGACCCGAGTCGATCACCCCGGCCGCGAAGAGTGGTCAAGGGGGAGTGACTGGGCCGGGCGTCAGAGGTTGAACCTCCAAATCCCTCCTTCTCCCTCATCTTCTCCAGGGTGACCCGAGTCGCTCCCCCGGCCGCGAAAAGCGGTCAAAGGCGAGTGACCAGGGCGGGCGTCAGAGGTTGAACCTTCCAATCCTTGTTCCTCCCTCATCTTCTTCACGGTG